TGGCATTAAAGCCTATAAATCGCATGTTTTGTTTGTGTCCTCCATCTTGAATTATCTCTCCATCTAATTCAATTTGCCCTTTAAATGTTATAAATTTATCAGAGATAGCCTTGATAACATCGGAAAATAGAGCGTTTGATATGAATGTCTCATCGTCTAAAATTTCAATTTTATTCACATCTTTTTTAAGTATCTATTTTTGATTAGTTCTTTATTTTGACCACTGATATTTCCGTATGGAATTTATCCAAAATTTCATTGAATTCTTCCAATTGTTCGACTGTTATGCTCTTGTCTTATTAAAAGTAAAAACATTTACGCGTACTAACGACATTTCTTTTTTCGTATGGTCCTCATTAAGATGATAGGAATATTTTCTTTTTTCTTTTTCGATGTTTATCTTGGCTCTACAAATAAAACCACCACCTTCAAGGATGGAGTTGGAATCTTCGGCAAACGATAAATGTACTATGAACTCTCTTTCTTGTTGACTTTTATGAACATCGATCGAGGTGTATTTTCCACCTAAAGCAAAATACAGTTTTACGTATTCAAAGCCTGTTGTTCGTAAAAACTCGTAACTACTCGATTCTATTGGTCATTGTTTGAATTTTCTCAGTGATGGTGGAATTTTGATCATTGTGGTTGATGGTGGATTTTCCGTCTCCAATATCATATCTAAATCTTTGATTCCAATGATATCCTTATCATTTTCTACTTCTGTTTTAAAGGTGTCTACATATTTACCATTTTTCGTTTCAATTTCATATAAATCATCCCTTTTATCAAGCGGACGTAGAGTCAATTCCAAATTACCATCATTGTAAAATAAAAGATTTTTAACAGCATTACCGGTTTGTTTGAAGACTACTTTCTTGACCCTAACCGTCATGGGAAAATCTATTTGAATCAGACATCTACCTCGAAAAGTAACTTTGGTCTTTTCTATCGAAGACAGTGTCACTTTCGAATGGAAGATTGAAATAATACGAATGAGATACCAAAAGCTTTTGTTTTGGCATTTAAAACGTAGAACATTTAATTGGTTGGCTAGTTAATTTCGTTATCTCTTCTTTTGGTTCTAGACCGAACGAATCAAAGAAATAAAAGTTATTGAAAGAATCTTTGTGTAGAGCAGAATGATGAACTCCTTTTTGATCCGACGTATGAATGTTTGTGATGGCGTAAAATTTACCTTTCTTATATTTCAGTTCATCAATTTCATCTCGCATCCAATAATAAAACGGCGAGACGTTCAACTCCTTGGCCCATTTCACAAGTTGAAAGTTTGTGGTCGTGTCTTTTCCGTATTTATCGAGAAATGCATTTATTTTTTATCGAATTCTTTCGGAGTATGCGGTAAGTATTGTTGAAAACCAATTGGACGAAATATATACGTAGTTTGTGTTTGTAAAATATTGCATAACACTCTGATAAAACACATTCAGTAATATTTTGCACATGAATTTGCATTTAAATTTAAGAAAGCGTAAATGCTTGTCTACATCTAAATTTCTTAATCTTCTATCAAATTCTTCGTCATCCTTTTCGAGATTCATTTTTAAAAGTTCATTTTGATAAAACCTTCCTATGATTTGTTCTTTGTCTTGATCAATCAATTCATACGTGGGAGGTGATGTAGTGTTTACTTTATCAACGATGAATATCTCGTTAGTCCAGTATCCGACGTAACCTTTTTCGAATATGCTTTTATATTTGAAAATACGAACGCGATCTCCAACTTTGAATTTGGGTTTAATATTCAAATTGCTAATCTCGTTTTCAAAGTTGTTTCGAGTGTTGATGGACTTTATTACACCAACTGGTTATATTTTAAGCCATTTTTGAGATTTCAATTCCGTGAATTTCTTGAATAATTTGCTTTTAAGAGTCCCGTTGAATCTTTCTATCACTACGGCTTTACCTTCGTTATGCGTGCTGTAAATTTCAAATCCTGTTTTGTTTTTCAGAGGAATAACCCAAGCATATCTCGTGTATATGTCGATCACCGTCAAACAATACTTGTACCCTCTCTCGACTAGCATGTTGATTAAATCGGCTGACCAAATTTCATCTTTATCAAACACTTTGACTTTGAGGTAATGTTTGTTTTTCGAAATTCTTTATGAATTTTAACAGTTTTATGATCAGCGCTCTTTGTAATTTTTCTTTGAAAGTGGGATTGGGAATATTTTCAAGTTCGATTATCATTTGTCTGTCTGCTTCGTGTCTGGCTGTTATGCCTTTATTTCTGTATAAAATATCGTGTTTGAGCGCTGCTGCGTCAACTTTATTGACTGGTTCTTCACCTGGTTTGGGTTTATCGTTTTAGTCTAATCGCAGATCTAACCTAGTACCTGGACCAGTGTAATTATGACCGGGAAGATGTTTTTCTCCGGGATATTTTGCCCATGGAAATCCTGGAAGAGAACCCAGTGACTTTTGAATGTCTCCCGAACCGAAATACGTTTTAGGAGGATGGACATTTATTAAAGACATTTTTATCCTTTAACCTTAAAACCCTTTCAAAGGCTTTTCGTTCTAATCTCATGTTTCGCAGTTCTCTTATGAGTTCCTAAAAACCAATGTTTTTTTAAAAATAAAGCTTGAGTCTGTTGACGACGACGGCCCGTGCCACGAAGGCGTCTCCTTTCACGATGCGAACGTACTCGCACGTAGGAAACCATCTTGCGTGTTCGATCCAAACGTCGTCGGTTTTCTGCCAGTCCAGCAACGATCCTCGCACGTCACTTTATCCGCGTAACCGCTGTAAAAAAAACCCGCAGTCGCCATATCTTCGGGCGTCTGAAAGATTTGCTTCAGCCACTTGGCTAAAGTCTCCAGTCTCTTGGACATCAAGTGATTGTCTCGACGGAAGACGTCACCGGTGCTTTCGTCCAGGATTTCGTAAGACACGAAGTAGCGAGCCGTGAGTCGCGGCTTGTTTTCGGCGAGCACGCTCATGATGCGTTTGTGCATTTTCTCCGGGCCGGGCAGATTACGAAAAAGTTTGTGTTTAGCTTCTTTGGTGGTGACGGTGGGTTTGGATTCGTATATTCCGACGGCATCGGTCCGACACTCTAACATTGTTTTCGAATAAGTGATATTATTTTTATAATAGGATTTTTATTAGAATTAATAACATCTTATTTTTAAATGAGTTAATTTAAGGAAGAAATGTAGGGGGTGAATAGGTCTTTTTTTTTGGTGGGTAGGTGGAATTGAAGAAATGTAGGGTTTAGAGGTCTTTTTTGTTTAGGAGAGCTTTCAGATTGGATGGTCTTTTTTTGAGGAGATGGGTGGTCTTTTTTGAGGGAGCTTTCAGATTGGATTGTCTTTTTGAGGGAGCTTTCAGATTGGATGGTCTTTTTTAGGGAGCTTTCTGATTAGAAGTACGTTTCACTATGGAATAAAATGAAATGGGAAAAGTGCGTCTAATCTGAAAGCTCTAGTAGAACTGTCATATAGAACTCGTTTCTTGATAACATGATGAATTGTGGGATAGTTTAACCCAAAGTAGTACTATAAAACAGACTCTTTCGGTTTCGCTATCCCATAATGCTTCATCGTTATCAAGAAATGGGAAATGGAACAAGTGACATCAGGTGTTCCTAGTGAAAACATACCTCATTTTCGATGGTAACATCAGCCGAATTATCAAGTAATAACTTGACCACATCTAGACGACCATTATGAGAAGCCAAATGAAGAGCTGTAAGCTTGTCCTGAAAAATAATATACCACTTGAGAGAAAATGTCTGAATGTATCTTATAGTTTTCATCTTCTTTACTGTGTAATATTTTTCTCTGATTCTCAAAATGGATGAAGTATAACTACTTTGATATCAGAATTGGGGAATGAAAAAAAAATGGACTTTAATATCCTACTTTTCTGTTCCTCATTGGTGTAGTGACAGGCCATGCAGTGTGGAATGGAGGCAATTGGCATTAGAGTAATCATTTTCAAAATCTTACAGTTGAGGGTTCTTTAATGTACAGAGCTCAAGTTTGTTCTTATATCTACATGAGTACACACTCTTTCTTTATTAGACCTAAAAGATACAGAGCTACATCTTTACCTTAGTTACATTATTTATATTAGCACCTCTCTCTAACAATGTTTTTACAATATCTACACGTCCTTCTTGACTGGCTAGATGCAGGGCTGTATAACCATCCTGAAAAATAGATCGGAATATAGCTTCGGAACATTAACAAATACAGATATCACACGAAAACTATTTTAAGTTATCTATTCCGGACTAAAATATCATAATACAGGTGATAGGTTATATACGCTGGTATCAATAATGAATAATGAATTATGGGTGTTGTTGAATGGAAGCCTATCTTATTAAAATTACGTTACAATTTCGTTTCTTTTCTTGTTTTCTGATATTTTTTTGTCTTAGTTATAATGCAAGAGGTTTTCTACCACAGGTTCGTTCTAATGACTTTATTTTTAACAAATCACAGCGTGTCATATAGAACCCGTTTCTTGATAACATGATGAATTATGGGATAGTTTAACCCAAAGTAGTACTATATAACAAACTATCCCATAATTCTTCATCGTTATCAAGAAATAGTAGTATATGTCTTTTCGGATATGACACATTTCACTTCTGCGCATGCGCAGTTTTTTCAATGCGTCATATCCGAAAAAAAACTCAGCATTCTCCATGCATCAAATCTGAAAAGACTCAACTACTAAATGTGTTATTATCGGATCAAAAAAAGATTCAACTACTTACATATGCACTAGAAAATAAATATACCCGACCACACAAGATTCACTTTAATAATACAGTGTAAAATAACCCCATTAAAAATAAGATGTCTTTAATTTTAAAACACGAACAAAAAAAATTCGAAGGAGACGGTTTCTTCTCAGCTCTATCATCTCTCATCCCAATTGTTGACTATATGGGTCAACATAGAATACACTAGTAATTCATCTCAGAAACACAAATTTGAAGATAGATTCCTTTGTCCGATATCTTGAACTGTTAAAAATAATGAATCTGTAGTGATTTTGAGATAATATATATATAGAGAGACAACGATCACACAAGAAGTAAATACGTAATTGTTGACTATATAGGTCAACATAGAAATTCACTGGTAATTCATCTCAGAAACACAAATTTGAAGATAGATTCCTTTGTCCGACATCTTGAACTGTTAAAATAACTCAATCAGATTCCTATTATCCCTTCATTAGATGGAATAATTAATGAAAAATACAGAACATATTAAAACGCCCTATGATAATTGCACAAAGTCCTAAAATTTATTTCGGTGCTAGAGACATTCAAAAGTCATTGGGTTCTCTTCCTGGATTCCCATGGGCAAAATATCCCGGAGAAAAACATCTCCCAGAGCATAATTATACAGGTCTTGGCACGAGATTAGATCTACGATTGGATGAAAATGATAATCCCAAACCAGGGGAAGAACCCGTTAATACGCAGCAGCACTCAAGCACGACATACTGTACAGAAAAAAAAACATAACATTCAGACACCAAGCAGACAAACAAATTATACACGAACTTGAAAATATTCCCAATCCCACTTTCAAAGAGAAATTACAAATTATTCTAAAACTCTTGAAGGCAAATTTGAAATTGGGTATGGGCATAGCAGACGAGATTCACAAAGAATTTCGAAAAAACAAACATTACCTCAAAGTCAAAGTTTTTGATAAAGATGAAATTTGGTCAGCCGATTTAATCAACATGCCAGTCGAGAGAGGGTACAAGTATTGTTTGACGGTGATCGACATATACACGAAATACGCTTGGGTCTTTCCCTTGAAAAACAAATCGGGTCTGACTGTCAAACACGCATTCGAAACCATAATGAAACAATCCGACAGACGACCCCTAAAGTTGTGGCTTGATAAAGGAAGCGAATTCTACAACAGAAATGTGAAATCTCTGGGGTTTGAAATTTACAGCACGCATAACGAAGGTAAAGCCGTAGTGATAGAAAGATTCAACAGGACTCTTAAAAGCAAATTATTCAAGAAATTCACGGAATTGAAATCTCAAAAATGGCTTAAAATATTACCAGTTGTTGTCGACGAATACAATAACAAAATACATTCGTCTATAGGTGTGACGCCAACGCATGCCTCCATCAACACTCAAAACAACTTTGAAAACGAGATTAACAATTTGAATATTAAACCCAAATTCAAAGTTGGAGATCGAGTTCGTATTTTTAAATATAAATCATTATTTCAGAAAGGTTACGTTGGGTATTGGACTAACGAGATATTCATTGTTGATAAAATAAATAACACACCACCTCCTACGTATGAATTGATCGATCAAGACAAAGAACGAATCATAGGAAGGTTTTATAAACATGAACTTCAAAAACTGACTTTTAAAAATCAATAGCTTTCTCGAAAACAAAGAGAATTCGGATGATGAAGAATTTGATAGAAGATTAAGAAATTTAGATGTAGACAAGTACTTACGCTTTCTTAAATTAATTTTTTTTAAATTTAAATGTAAATTTATGTGCAAAATATTATTGAATGTGTTTTATCAGAATTTTTTACAATTTTTTTCAAACACAAACTACGTATATATTTCGTCAATTGGGTCTTCAACAATACTTACCGCATACTCCGAAAGAATTCGAAAACATAACACCTCAAAATATTTTTGATATCTCGGGATTTAACTTTAATACAAAACCCAAAATCTAAATCATTATTTCAGAAAGGTTACGTCGGGTATTGGACTAACGAGATATTTATAAAATAAAATGAATAGCACATCACCTCCCACGAGGAAGGTTTTGTCAAAATGAACTTAAAAAAACTGACTTTTAAAAATGAATGCATTTCTCGATAAATACGGAAAAGACACGACCACAAACTTTCAACTTGTGAGATGGGCCAAGGAGTTGAACGTCTCGCCGTTTTATTCGCCGAGATGAAATTGATGAACTGAAATACAAGAAAGGTCAATTTTACGCCATCACAAACATTCATACTTCGGATCAAAAAGGAGTTCATCATTCTGCTTTACACAAAGATTCTTTGAGTAACTTTTTTTTATTCGTTCGGTCTAGAACCGACAGAAGAGATAACGAAATTGACAAGCCAACCAATTAAATGTTCTACGTTTCAAATTCAAATGCCAGGACAAAAGCTGTGTGGAAAGCTGTCGCTTTGGTTTTTAAATCGGTTGAGTTTGGGAGAAAAGTTTGAAGAAATTATAATAAATTTAACTCAATAAAAATGGCAAACAAGTTTGGATTAGGGTCTTTACCTCTAGAATCTAAAAACCCCATGAGTTCTACGGCGTTTATAAACAAAGCGAAACCCTTTTTCGTGGATCAAATTGGAGACAATTTCAATTTTCAGAACTAGACAAGGCCGTGGACAAAACTGAGTCACAAAATTCAATATCCAAATTGAACGAAAAGATTGCGAAGCAAAAATCAGATGTTCAAAATATAATTAACAATCTCACACCTCCCATTGACAAAGATAAGTTGAAACGACAATTGATTGCTTTGGATACTAAAATCACGGACGAATAAGAAAAGAACTGGCTGTGATTAAAAACTTTTTTCAAAATAAATTTCAAGATGATATCAAAAAATATGTTAAAGAACAGGTTAATCTTTTGGTATCTAGAATTCATGACGATTTTTTGAGACAAGAGAGAAAGTTGAGCAAATTAGAAGCTATTGTCACGGACAAGTCGTATTATTTCAATCTTCCATTCGAAAGTGACACTCCCTTCGATAGAAAAGACCAAATTTATAAATCAAACAAATACGGATTCAAAGTAGAAATAAAAGTAGCTTCTCGCATAGATGGGCAACCTAAAAACGTATTCGATATCGGCGAAACGGAAGCGTTTACTTTTCGAGGTAGTAGTCTGATTGAAATAGATTTTCCCATGACGGTTAGGGTCAAGAAAGTAGTCTTCAAACAAACCGGTAATGCAGTCAAAAATCTTTTATTTTTCAATGATGGTAATTTAGAAGAGACTATACGTTTGATTGATAAAAGGGATGATTTATATGAAATTGAAACGAAAAATGGTAAATATGTAGCCACCTTTAAAATAGAAGTGGAAAATGATAAGGATATCATTGGAATCAAAGATTTAGATATGATATTGGAGACGGAAAATCCACCATCAACCACAATGATCAAAATTCCACCATCACTGAGAAAATTCAAACAATGACCAATAGAATCGAGTAGTTACGAGTTTTTACGAACAACAGGCTTTGAATACGTAAAACTGTATTTTGCTTTAGGTGGAAAATACACCTCGATCGATGTTCATAAAAGTCAACAAGAAAAAGAGTTTATAGTACATTTAACGTTTCTCGAAGAATCCGACTTCGAATTTAAAGGAGGTGGTTTTATTTGTAGAGCCAAGATAAACATCGAAAAAAAAAAAAAATATTCCTATCATCTTAATGAGGACCATACGAAAAAAAAATGTCGTTAGTACGCGTAAATGTTTTTATTTTCAATATCTATATCTATCTATATGATATTCCGTGGTTTTTTTTATCGGAAATTCACTTAATTTAACGACTTAAAAAATGGAACTCAAAAGCAGACAACAATACATGATAGACAAACAAGAAGAGTTGAAAATAAAATTAAGACAGTACAATGCATGCAGGAAAACATGGAGTAGAATCGATTCTGTTTTCAAAACAGCAAGCACAGTTCGGTAGGAGTAACGGTGGCAACGGCCGTGACTGGTGGATTAATGCTTCCGGTCATTGTCCCAACCGTATTGGCTGCATTAACAGCCGTTCAAACGACTTCTTGTGGCCTCATCACGTTAGGTTTCACAAGCAAAAAGAAAGCTCATTATAAAATGAAAACGGATATCTTGGATATGTATCTTAATCAATTGTACATCTTTTTCGAAAGATCGCGAGAAGACAAGAACATAACAGTTGAAGAATTAGAAGAATTCAATGAAATTTTGGATAAATTCCATACAGAAATATCAGCGGTCAAAATAAAGAAATAATCAAAAATATATACTTAAAATAATAGGAATAAAATCGAACTTGCACGATGAAACTTTGACAGAAAATGTCCTATTTTCCGATGTTATCAAGGCTGTTTCCAATACATTTAAAACATTCAAAGGACAAATTAAAATAGATGGAGAGATACTCGAGGAAGGAAATCACAGACAATACATGTCACTCCTCGGTTTCAATGCCAAAACCTTTCACAATATCTTTTCAAATATGGATAAAAAAATCTGATGCTTTCTATTGGTATTTTACAGGAAAAATAATTTTAGTGACAGACAATTTCCAAGAAATCAAAAGATCGAGAGTTGGCAGAGGAGGAACTGATCTACTTAAAAAGATAAATGAATACAAAGGTGAAAATTGTTACATACCTGCAGATGGTCACTGTTTTATCAAATGCGTAAATCGTGTTTTGAACAAATATTTAACGTGTAAATTTCAAGAATTCATCAACGGGTAATCAAAAGCAAGTAAAAAAGGAGTGATGACTTGTGCTAGAATCAACGAATTCAACAAGACATTTAAAACTTCGTTTCAAATTCTTAATCCCAAAAATAGACATTTACATCCCAGAGACGTACATGATGAATTAGATTGGGTTTTTTACTTTAAGTGCCCACTGATAATGCAGAGGGGTATTTTGTCTTTACCTATATCTAATCCTTTCACCGATAAATATTTACAGAAAAAATAACGAGCGATAAAAACTATTTGCAAAATATCAGTTTCACGTGTTCCTACCAACATGAAAAATCTAGTTTGGCTGCATGGGGAAATTCGTCCAATCTTCCCGCGAATTTGAGAAAGATTGCCGACGTAGATATCGCTAAATACACGCAAGACAATTGGGAGGAATTGAGACACGAATGGGAACCTTACGCCAAGAGAGACACTCTCTGTTTGGGAGCTTGCATCGAGAAATACAACCAAGCCATGAAAGACGTCGTGATTCAAAACATGAGCAACAATCTAACGGCTCCTTCTTTGTCTTTGAAGGGTTGGTATTACTTGTATCACTACGATAAAGAAATGGTCGAAGAAGAGCATTACGAAACAACTAGAATGCTTCAGAAACACACCGAAAAACCGTAGGTGGAAAAAGTTTACTCGCACACCAATCCTTTCGTGACAATCCATCAAAGGCGGAAGAGTTTCGGCCAACAGAAAATCTTGCGAATTGTTAAAGGAATATACTGGACTCGAAAGCGTCAACATTGTAGACTTGTTTAAAGCCTACAATCAATCCGAATAAGACAAAACTGAACTGTCTTCGAAACTTAAAAAATTAAACTGTTCCAAACTGATGGCTTTCGACGCCAACGGTTTGTACGCTTCGGCCATGTCGGATTTAGACAGCGAATATCCTAAAGCGGAAAGCGCGAGAGCCTTTCAACCGGAAGAAGAAATTTGTCAGATTATTCAACGAGCAAAGATTCAGACCCAAAACGGCCATTTTCAAAGTCTGGTTCGAATATCCCAAACTCATGTTCTTCCAACCCGTGCCAGCTAAAGATAAAATCACTTTTACCAACAAAGAAGGTAAAAAGGAAACCGGTATTAAAATCACGTTCAGAAACGGTTTCTGTTACCACGTTTTGACTTCGGTCGATATTCAAGAAATAGTCAAAGCCGGCGGAAGAATCATCAGGATATTGGACGGTATCGTCTACGAGAAAAATTTCGACAGACCACCTTACGGCGAATACGTTTTGAAACTGAGAAATTTTAGAAATCAATACAAAGAGGAAGGTAATGTCGTGGGCAGCAACTGCATGAAACTATTGGGCAATTCTCTCACGGCAAATCGATTCAGAAAGACATTCTGACCTCCAGACATTTGTGGAACGAAGCGACTTTGAAATTGATTGATGGATTTTATAAACCCGAAATATACTATACCGACACCGATAGTTTGTACATTTCATCCAACAATTGGAAAAAACTAAAGAGAGCTGGTTTGGTCTCCGAAAAAGACTATTGCAAAGGTAAAAACGATTACGGTGATGGTGGAAATATATTTGGTTTATATTTAGAGCCAAAAGTTAAATACAATATCATTCTAACTTCTGATGGTGTTTTAAAAGAAAAGAAAACATTTAAAGGTTATAAGAAAACATTTAAAGGTTATAAGAAAACATTTAAAGGTTATTCTAATGATAAGATAAGTGAAGAAGATTACATTCAGTTAGCAAGCGGACATGATGTGTCGAATGAATTTAAGAAACCATGGGAAAAAAATTTCGCAAATGGAGTCGTTATTCCAAAGGATGATGATAAACAAACTAAAGTTTTTAGAAGTTATTTGAATAATGTTAAAAGAAAACCACCAAACAGTGAAGGAATTATGTATCCTTACAACGACAAAGATGAGTATACTTTGGATGAAAACTGCGAATTTGATGATTTCGATTATCTTACTATTAAAGAAGAGAATGAAGAGCTATTTGATTTGTTTTAAATGAAGTTGTTTCTTCGTTACCAAAATCTATAAACCTCTTTCTTCCATCTTTGATTTCCATATTTATATCTTTGATCATGAAAGAATTAAGTGGTAAATAGGTCGTTTGAAACGGTTTCTCTATAATTCTGTATCCGATCGGCACCGTAAAAGTCGGTATACTGTATATGATTTGGCGTTGAAAAATCCACCGTTGATCAAATTACAGTGAATGTTGATCACGTCGATGTCGTTCTCGATGTTGGCCTTGTGTGGCGCCAATGTCGATTGCGCGTATATTCGTTTATCGAACCCTAGTAACGCATTCAACGAATTTTCTACGTTGAAATCGACTTGATTGTTATTTCTCAAGATCAGTTTTATTTCGTTCAGATTAAAATTACCTTCGAATTCGATATTGTTTTTACCGTTCACGCTTCCTGCGTATTCGGATAGGTATTCGTTGATGGCTACGTATTCGTAGCTTTCCGATAGTAAGCTTATGGTTTTGAACGTAACTCCGCTCGCTATCCGTCGATATTTTTAGTTGATTGTTGTTTTCGTTGATATTTCTAATGGAATTGTAAACGGAGAAATACTTTAATCCCAGTTCGTACTGTTTATCGCGATCGAGTTCATACTCGTAGTCTAGAGACAATTTAATGTCCGATTTATTTGAGGTTATAACGAACAATTGTTCTTTATTGGACATTTTTAATGACGTTTATATAGTCTTTTTTAGTGATGATTTTTTTCTCCAAAAGTCGTTTTAATATGCCATTGACTTCAATGTATTGTCTCTCCGATCGATGACCTTCTTTCATGGCTGCTAATATTATTCGTAATCTATTAACTAATTCCTCGTTGTTATCTGATAAAATAGTTATACCTTGCCCAGAAACCATATTTTCGAATTCGTCTATTTCTTGTATGATTGGATAATCTTCTGTATAATCATCTACCTCCTCTTCATCTTGCTCAATAACTTTTGTTATATATAAATCAACTTTTCAATCTTCTTGTTTCGGGCCCCGTCTTTCTTATCGCATGTAGAAATTTTGAGTATGCTACTAAATCCTTGTAATCGGCAATTTCAACATCTCCCCCATTCATTAAATCTATTAACCCTTTTGTTAATGTAAATAATCAATTGTCAAAGGTTGATTGGGATAATTATCGTTATTCAATCTGACTTCAACTTTGCGAATGATGGGATCTTGACTATGGTTCAATGCCATTCTGAAATGTTGTCGTTGTTTGTCTGAGAGTCTGGTAAGTTTTTGAAACCGACCATTAGATATCTCGCTGGTTTGACGGTGTTGGTGATTGGCCACGTGGTGGATTCTCCCGTTAAATTTATGCTACCTACCGTGTTACGACGAAGAAATGCTATTTCGATGTCTTTGGTTAAAGAGTTTAATATTCTCGTTTCCACTTCTATGGAAGGAGTGATTACCGGTATGTAAAGTTGGGTATTCGTTATTTCCAATTTTGCGTCAGAGTTGTTTTCACAAAAGAATATCTTCTTGTCGTTGATTTCTCTTTGCAAATGAATTTTATACGGCAAACATATGGAAACCTTTCTGTGTTCCAAGAGACCAAATAAAGGATACAACTTCCAATTTACGTAATTACCCCATCTGTTGTTCTCGACGACATTGTTGTATTGAAGCGCTCGTTTTTCAAATCTGTGATTTACTCCGCGAGACACTCTTTCCAGTGTGTTTCTAGCAACTACCCTTATCCTAGCAAGTTCTGCGTCATTTGCTACAGTTCTGACCGGTTCTTTTAAAACTTCTCCGTCACCTGCATCGGGAATCCATCACGAAACTGAATCGTAGTTTTTGGGATACAAAACCGTTTTCAACATTGTGTCAAACTCGCAGGGGTGTTTTATGGTCTCTATCGGATTTGAACCAGCTTCCAAAACCATTTCGCTGAATAAAGACGGGAGGAAATTGTTTTCTAAAGTCGTTTGTGGAACTCGACTCTGAGTGGTGTCTTTTGAAATCGCATCGGAAATTGGACAACTGGACAACGAATTAATTTCAAAGGTAACTCTACCTCCGTCGTTTATTTGGGTCTTTGTCCCTACCGATGGTGAGATGATTACGTAATCCTCTTTCTTCTTGTTGAACGAATATTGAATCGGATCATACAATTGAATGATTGAATCTAGTCTGTAATTTTTGCTTGCCATTTTTATCCAATGATTTTAAACCCTTTTCCTTGTTTTTCCAAGGCTTGTCGTTCTAGTCTCTTTAAGTTCGTCAGATTTTTTCCTGCTTCGGCGATGGAAGCGATGACTTTGGCGCCAGATGAAATGAGGGATTTGCTGTTTGAAACAAAACCAGCCACTTTGGGTATTAAAGATGTTAGCGCAGAGAAGAAACTGTCTCCTTCGAATTTTTTTGTTCGTGTTTTAAAATCAAAGACATCTTATTTTTAATGGGGTTATTTTATACTGTATTATTATAGTGAATCTTGTGTGGTCGGGTAAATTTATTTTCTAGTGCATATGTAAGTAGTTGAGTCTTTTTTTGATCCGATAATAACACATTTAGTAGTTGAGTCTTTTCAGATTTGATGCATGGAGAATGCTGAGTGTGGGGAGTCTGTTATAATACATTTTAGCAGTCGTGTCTTTTCGGATATGACGCATTGAAAAAGCTGCGCATGCGCAGAAGTAAAATGCGTCATATCCGAAAAGACATATACTACTAGAAATGGGACATGGAACAAGTGACATCAGTGAAAACATACCACACATTGGATGTTAACATCAGCCGAATTATCAAGTAATAACTTGACCACATCAAGATGACCTTCTTGAGAAGCAAAATGAAGAGCTGTACTCCCTCTCTGAAAAATAATATACCACTTGAGAGAAAATGTCTGAATGTATCTTATAGTTTTCATCTTCTTTACTGTGTAATAATTTTCACTGATTCTCAAAATGGATGAAGTATAAAAACTTTAATATAAGAATTGAGGAATTGAAATAAAAAGGGACTTTAATATCCTACTTTTCTACTTCACATTGGTGTAGTGACAGACCATGCAGTGTGAAATGGAGGTAAGTGACATTAGAAATATCATTTTCAAAATCTTACAGTTGAGGGTCCTTTAATGTACAGAGCTCAAGTTTGTTCTTATATCTACATGAGTACACACTCTTTCTTTGTTAGACCTAAAAGATACAGAGCTACATCTTTACCTTGGTTACATCATTTATATTAGCACCTCTCTCTAACAATGTTTTTACAACATCTACATTTCCTTTATTACTGGCTCTATGCAGGGCTGTGGAACCATCCTGAAAAATAGATTGGAATAGAGCATTACTTGGGAACATGTACAAATACAGATATCACACGAAAACTATTTTAAGTTATCTATTCCGGGCTAAAATATTATAATACAGGTGATAGGTTATATACGCTGGTATAAATAATGAATAATGAATTATGGGTTTTGTTGAATGGAAGTCAATCTTATTAAAATTACTTTACAATTTCTTTTCTTTTTTATTTTCTGATATTTTTTGGTCTAAATTATAATCCAAAAGGTTTTCTACCACAGGTTCGTTCTAATTACTTTATTTTTAACAAATCACAGTGTGTCATATAGAACCCGTTTCTTGATAACATGATGAATTGTGGGATAGTTAAACCCAAATTAGAACTATATAACAGACTCTATCGGTTTCGATATCTCATAATTCTTCATCGTTATCAAGAAATGGGAAATGGAACAAGTGACATCAGGTGTTCCAGTGAAAACATACCTCACATTGAATGATGTTAACATCAGCCGAATTATCAAGTAATAACTTGACCACATCTAAATGACATTCTTGAGAAGCCAAATGAAGAGCTGTATTCCCATCCTGAAAAATAATATACCACTTGAGAGAAAATGTCTGAATGTATCTTATAGTTTCCATCATTTTTACTGTATAATATTTTTCCTGATTCTCAAAATTGATGAAGTATAACAACTTTGATATAAGAATTGGGGAATGAAAAATAAAATGGACTTTAATATCCTACTTTTCTGTTCCTCATTCGGTTAGTGACAGGCCATGCAGTGTGGAATGCGGGTAAGTGGCATTAGAATCATCATTTTCAAAATCTTACAGTTGAGGGTTCCTTAATGTACAGAGCTCAAGTTTACTGTCATATCTACATGAGTACACACTCTTTCTTTGTTAGACCTAAAAGATACAGAGCTACATCTTTACCTTATCAGCAACATTTATATTAGTTCCTCTCTCTAACAATATTTTTACAATATCTACATGTCCATTATAACTGGCTTTATGCAGGGCTGTACAACCAATCTGAAAAAATATGTGGCAGTGTTACTGGTATTCCAACGTGTCAAATATCGTCGATCCGCGCAATAAATATAGCACACGCCGTTACTCTAGTCTTGAGTCAAGTCTATTATTGTTAATGAATTGTGGATTGACGTTCTGGTATATATTACCGTTGCTTGGTAACAACGTGCATGATGGGATTGTAAGAACATGTGAAAAATTATTGTGGTCCAAACAGAGCCATGGCTATACAATTTTTTACCTTATTGTTTTGTTTCCATGTTTTGTGAATATGCTTTATGAATATCAAGGCGTGAAATAACTCCAGAAATTGGGCCGGACATTTTGTCCCACACAATTCAATTTGTGTTGGACATTTGAAATTTTGTACCGGACATTAAAAAATACGGTATTTTCAATTGAAAAATCGTATTTAAAAACCATCAATTTAGGACTGAAATTTGCCGTTTTCTCACCTGCAAGTGCAATACAGGTTAACAACTACCTAAGAATAGTTTATGTCATTCAAATAGGCCATAGCATAGGGATTATTTATATTCCTGATGACTCTAAGGATGTGATAAAGCCATAATTAAATTAAATCAAATCTTGTTAAAAAGTTCTAGGAACATAAAAAAAGAGCAATCGGAACTAATAACTTATCTGATTGGAAAAGAAAATATATCTATTGATATCAGAC